GTTTAATTTCAAACCATCCTTTGTGGTTACTTTAGGTCTCCGAGTCTGCAAAACTGCCATGCAGGCCTCTCCTGAGCATGTCAGGTCAGCATGTGGCCCCTTTCGTCCACAGTATATAAGCTATTCTCTAAGCCTAAAATATACTTTCATTTATTGAGCTTCAAAAAATCTCCTCATTGAAGATTTTTTATCTTGTCTCAGTTCAATTAATTGTATCCTCAGGCTATTGTATTTATTAAACACGATTAAAAACTACCTTACAGTCATTTTTTAAAGCTGTCCATCTTTTTTCTTAAATTGAGTTGCTTGAGGGCAAGGACTGTGTATTAATCTTCATAATATCTCCCAAGCCTTGCTTACTGTATTTGATCAATTAATGCTGATTGGGTAAGTGAACATCGCCCCCCCCCGTTCTTAGTAGAGCGGGTCCACCGCCTGCACAACTGCTATACTATAAACGGAGGGGATTGCTTCTCCACCCTTAAAAAAAAACACAAAAAACCATCAGTTAATCCGCATTTTTAACCCGTATCCACATTTTAAAAAATATATATTTTATTGACTTTTTACAGAGAGGGATAGAGAGCTAGAAACATCAATGAGAGAGAAACATCGATCAACTGCCTCCTGCACACCCTCCACTGGGGATGTGCCCGCAACCCAGGTACATGCCCTTGACCGGAATCGAACCTGGGACCCTTCAGTCCGCAGGCCGACGCTCTATCCACTGAGCCAAACCGGTTAGGGCTGCTCCCCACCTTTTGGCTAAAATGAAGTGTAATAGGCTGGAGACAGGCCATTTCAGGATGAAGGTAAACTAGGGCCCAGATTAGGATGGGCGAGGGGGAAACCAATGGGGTAGGCCAATTTGGTTGGCACGTGTAGGGTATTAGTGAGATGATGGGGTCAGACAATGAGAATTACAGGCCTTGCATTTTAGACTTCCTTGACTTTTGTGATGGAGAGTAATAAGGAAGTTAGTTGGACTGAGTGAGATAAGGGTTGCCTGAGGACGGGATGGACAAGCTAAGACAAGTGAAATTGTCCAGGAGGGAACTGACATTGCAGTCTGGAACTGAGAAGGAATCTGAGGTTGGAAAAACCGCAAGGCTGAGTCTTCATGGTTCCCTCCTCGCTCCCAAATAACTCATTTCTTTATCCACACAGAACGCTGGATGATCCACTTGGGGTTTCTCCTTATTCCTAGGCCCGAGGCTAGGGCAGATGCTCCCAGAGCCCGCTACCAGCGGAAATCCCTCCCTCCCTCCCCGCCCTGGCGCAGCGGGAATTCCGAGAAGTGGGCGGTCCTTCCATTAGGCGCTCTAAGGAGCAGAGATTGGATAAGGCGGCCGCCAATCAGACCTCCCGGATACCCGGATGTGAAGCAGTAGGCGATACAAAGGCGAGTTTCCACCCAGCGCTTCCTCAGGTAGAGTGGCCAATAAGCATGTCTCAGGAGATGAATGACATGAAAAATAACCAGTCACAAACTAGTTCCTCTCACGCATGTGGAAATTCTTTTGCTTAGTCTAACCCATTGCTTATTGTGATTGGACAGAGTTGTGAAGAGCGGTAGAATTGTCTAATTAGAAGCGGGAGCGAGAAAAATAGCAGCCAATAGGAAGAGTCTCAGTAGTGGGGCGGGGGCTAGGCCTTCGCCTCGGCGGCAGAGGAGACTCGGGGGCCATTTTGTGAAGAGACGAAGGCAGAGCGGTTGCGGCCGCGTTGCTGACCTCGAGCAGTAGTCGGCTTCTCCACGTAGAACCCGGGAGTAGGAGATTCAGAATCGAATCTCTTCTCCCTTTTCCCACCAGGTGAGTGGAGGAGATAGATGCAGGGGGAGGCGCTGGGTTCCCCTGTGAGCGCGAGGGCATGTGGGAGAGAAGACGAGGCAACCCTTTTCTCGGTAACTAGGCCCCCATTTATTCTCTTTTGCGGTGGGGGGTTAGATCCTGTGCGGGAGGGTTTTGTAGGCCTCAGCCCTTGTATAGATTTAACCTGGTGTCCTCTAGGCCACGATCAGCAGGGGAAGTGTCCTTTTTTCGTTCTCCTTCTGGGTTAACGGCTGCTTTCCTTTCATTTTTTACGACCATGAGGTCTCCAAGAGGGATCATGAAAGGGAAGATCGACATGCTCGTTCATATAGTTGAAGTTAATACAGTGCTGGTGCCTCTTGTTAAATTTAAAAATTGGGCGGGGTTTGGGGGAAGGATTACCAAGTAGACATTTTACCGCGTGTCTCTCAATTCCGGAGCATACCGCAGGGCATAAGAATAATAAATGTTATAACAGTGGATTTAGTATTTTATAGATTACTTTTATTTTACCTCTCTGAGAAAATGATGGACCGCGAAGTATTTCACTTATTTTTTTTTTAAAGCTTGTAATTTCATATATTAACTACTAATTAAAGCTGACTTTTTATCTGCAGGTTATAAATCACTTGAAATATATATAAGTTAGTGGAATTTTCCTTGAGGTAGGTATTACTGTCTTTCTTGGAAAGAAATAGAGGCATAAGAATGTTGGTTGCCAGGGTTATATTGAATCAGGAGCGGAACTAGTAAGGAATTTAACCGCTAGCTTAGCTATAGGAATAATAGGCACTAAGTACTGAATTTGAGTCTTTACAAGAACCTAATTACAGCAACCACTAGCAGTAACTGCAATTTCCCAGACTGCACTTGGGAAAAATATTTAGGAGAATTGCATTTGTTACGAATACAATGTTCCAAGATGATAAAGTCTAATTTTCAGGATATTCTGGCATTAGTTTTCCAGACCACCTAAACTGGTGAGATTCATAACTACGTACTTTTTTATTAAGCAAATACCAATGTGCCTACTATTTGCCACGTCCTGACCTTTATTAAAATTTTTTTCTAAGTTTATAAAAATAGCAGAGGTTTCTAAGTAGTATCACATTGCTTTATCCAAGAAATCGCTATTTAGGGGGTAAGGCAGGCTAGAAGGGGGGGTCTATTAGGGGAAAGGGGGGCGGCATCTGTAACATTTTCAACAATAAAGATTTAAAAAAAACAAATTGCTATTTATTGTTGTGTAAGATTTAGTTGATTTTAATTTTCATAATGTGTTCATCTCAGAAACTACCGTTAGTAAGCATGGCATAAACCAGTACTGCAAGGTAAATATATTCCTGAAGAAACCTACTTGATAGGAAGTAAAAGTACTATTATTCTAGATACCCATGCATTTGTTGATTCCTCACCATTGTAGATAATGTAATAGGAATCAAAAACATTTCTTTTTTTTTAAAGCCTAAATATGTATATTATTTAATACACGGGCTTAAAACTAAAGTTTATTACTGCAGAATTGTTAGAAATGAGTTAAGGGCGGTGATTGCTTAATTTAGGAAATCACTTACCTAATAAAAATATTGTTGGCAAATAAAGAATGTGAGGAATTAATATTTAAGAAGTTATTGATGAGTTGAAATTAATTGAAGGGCACTAGATGTGTTAGGTCAAAATGTACCAAGGTAACAATTCTTTGAGTTAATGTCCATCTGGAATGATTTGGCCACAGAATTAATATCTGAACTTTTCTAGATATCTTTTCAAATACGTAAGCCTTAGAACATTTATATATTTGCTAGAGAGGAGGAGTTTAAGAAGGGTGACTAAATTGCAGATCTGACCTTTTTGTTTCCTATGCTGATGACACAGGAATGCTTGGTGGTGGTTGCTATTCCTTCGGTAGAGACTTTAAACATAGCTTATATTTGTAATTAGGTCTCTAGAGAGTTTCACATAGCAGGCGACCAACCTTGTTTTGGATGGAGTTTCTCTTAGAAATAAGCAAGGAATAAGCTCCAAAATAGCTAGTTATTCAAATCTTAAAGATTATTTTAACTGGTGAAATCGTGAGATGTTAACTGGGAAGTGTAACAGTTGAAGAAATAACTCCTAGGCCCTAGGAGTTAAGAGAACTGGATTTTATACCCCCCACCCCAATGCTATTATTACCTGTGTTGGGCAAATGAGTTAAAACTATTTAGATATTAGTTAAATATGTAATAGATGAGTTATAGAAATAAAATGGAAATCTAATCAGAAATTAAAATAGAAATCGCTAGATTTCTGATTTCTATAACTCATTTATTTCTGGAAGTTTTGAAAAGATACAGAAGTAGTTTTACGATTAGAAGTTTTTTTGTATATCATTAATGTTAACTGCCGTTAATGAAAGTATTTCAGTCTTCTAAGTGATTTTTCTTTCAAGTTTTTATTGATTTCATAGAGGAAGGGAGAAGGATAGAGGGATAGAAACATCAATGATGAGAGAGAATCATTGATTGGCTGCCTCCTGCACGCCCCCTGCTGGGGATGGAGCCCACAACCCGGGCCTGTGCCCTGACCAGGAATCGAACCATGACCTCCTGGTTCATAGGTCAATGCTCAACCACTGAGCCATGCCTGCCAGGCAAGTAATTTTTTTGGTAGTTGTCTTTTGGGACAACTTTGTATTTGCTCATACTTAATATGTATACTCATTCATTCTCATTGGGATCAGGGAAGATTATGGTTTTGTACATAATTAGATTTAGCAGAGAATTGACTGGTGAGAACCAGAACTACTAGATACAGCATAACTGCTTGTGTTATCTAAGATACTGAAAATGTGGGGGCTATAAAGGGAAAAAGGATTACTATTGGGCTGTTTTTTAAATTCCTTGGTGTATTTACTATGATGTTATAATTTTCTTGGATATATATTATATAATATCAGGAATACATTCAAAGCCTTGCTGCTAGCCTGTTGTCAGTACACTGGAAGGATAAGACACTTTGTTTATAAAGAATTTATCTTAACTAGGGGGATAGAGGTTCCTCATTAAACTCTTCACAGTCCCTAAACATGAGCTGACATCAGAATCAGCAAGAGGGCTAGTTAAAACATTGCTAGGCTCTCTAGCCCCAGAGTTTATAATTAAGTCAGTCTGGAGTGGGCCCCATCATTTGCATACCTAATAAGTGCCATGTGATACTAGTTGTCAGACCTTCCTTTGAGAATACCCCTTTAGAAGGGATCCAAACCACTCAGGATTGTCAAAGTACAGTATAATTTAGCTATACTATTAATTACAAAGCGTTGGAATTAGGAGCTAAAATAGTGGGGTTTTTTTTAATGAGTGATAGCTACTCAATTTATAACATCTTGGGAGACATCTTAACTTCTTTGAAAGATGTCTTATATTAACAGCTTTTTAAGTTTTGTCTTTTTAAAAATAATATATTTTTATTGATTTCAGAGAGTAAGGGAGAGAGGGAGAGAGAAAAGAGAAACATCAGTGATGAGAGAGAATCATTGATCAGCTGCCTTCTTCAGGGCCCCCAACTGGGGGTTGAGCCTGCAATTCAGGCATGTACCCCAACCTGGAATTGAATGTTGACCTGGTTCATAGGTCAGTACTTAACCATTGAGACACACTGGCTGGGCAAGGTTATGTCTTGACACGTGCAAAGGATTTGTTTATAGATGAGCCACAAAGTTATGTTAACATATCCTGAAAATTTTAAGAACCAGATTCAGGCCATGACTCTAAGAAAAAAAAAATTATTCTTTCCAAACACTGAGTTGAAGGAGATAACATTTAAAAGGATGTACATTTTTCTACAGCTTTTTCTGTAGTTTGTGCATTTGTACAATTTAACACATCAAAACAAGTATACCAGTAACTTACATGTCATGCCTAAACTGGTCTGCTTAAAAAAAAAATTTAAATTTTAGAATTACTGTACTTGTGCTGTTGTTGTAGTCATTCATATATAGTTGACTTATGGAACACTTTCACAGTCAATTTAAAATTTTTCAGGTTACTGACATTTAGAGATGAGAATAAAACCTCCTGGCTGAATATTGAAATGTGAATGCAACTAGTCCATTCTTATTTACTCAAAGACCTACAGTCTAATTGCAGATCTTGTTTCTGCTGATGAGATAGTCAGTCTGTCATGTTATTTTTTTATGTTATATATAAGATTCTTTGAATTAGCTATGTATTCTTGCTTATAAATTAGTGACGACTGATTATATATAGACCACTGAAACAAACTTGACCATAATTTTTCACCTGTTTTATCACACTAAATATTCAGTAGCCATAATCTTTCCCTTCATCTTTGGTTTTTCATTGTCAGTGAATAAATAATGTGTTCCTTGTTTAAAGCATCTTTTCTTGCTGTAGAAATTATTAGGTCTTGTGGTTTGTTCACTTAATTGGTTTTGAGAATCAATGTTTCTCTCTTATGTATCTTCATGGTAGACCATTCTCCTTCAGTCTGTATTACAGGAAAAATTACATGGACTTAAAATTTAAAAACCCATGAATTTGCTTTCTTTCATTCTTGAGATTTGCTCACTTCTTTACCTCTGTTGGCTTGGTTTTTATTTATATATATATATTCCTCGCCCAAACTGTTATCAAGATGAATGTTTGAACTTAACACCTTTTTTGAGACCCTTAAGGGGAATACATGCACTTATTTTGATAATTCTAGTTATTTACTAATATTGAGGAATTGTCAAGACAATCACTGGTAGAATTGATTCTATAGAGGCTCTCCCCATCCCAGTGGAATGTTATGCTTTACCAAAATGTGTTAGATGCAATGGACAGATGTTTCTGTCTTGGGGGTTTAGGGCACAACATTTCTGAGGAACTCTGACTCAATCTGTCCCTTCTCCTTTCACAGGGCAGCAAGGCGAACCCCATCCCTACTCACTGGAGCTCAGCTTTGATTTTTAACCTCCCTTCCCCACCCTTCCAGAACACACACATTCCCATTCCAAAACTGATTTTATAAAGAGCATTTTAAACATAATGATGCAACTTGGTGTGCACTACAGCAAATTTACAGGTGTTTTTTTTTTTTAATTGTTTCCAAAAACGGGACTTGGATTTAAGATGTAATTTTTAAAATTTCTATTTCTATTTTTTCTGCAGCAGTTGGGTTAGAGGAGGAGGAGCCTTTTAGCCTCTCATAAACTGACCTCTCTATTTCCTCGTGTATTTTTAAGATTGATTGATGATGTGGAAAGGGCTTTGCTTGTCTGCTACTGAGAACTTTACCCTTGCGGTTTTTGTGGAAACTGCTTTTGGAAAGAGAAAAGAAATGAACTTTATTGACTTGACATTTTTGCACCTCCCGTTTTTCTAATCTGGGCTATTTTTATTTTTGTTTTTTTACAGTGAGATTTTTTTGATCTTCAGCTACAGTAAGTTATTCCATTTTTTTTTACATTTTTCCTGACTTTCCGCTGATTTCCTTTTTATTGTTGTTACTAGTTACTATTATTTATTATTATTATATTTATGATGGTGATGATAATGATGATAATGACTGATGATTTTTAACCGGATTAAAGTTTTTCTGAATGTTCATAAGAATTTCTCCTGCCTCCTAATTGACTTGGAGTTTTCCATCTTGGGAGAGAAAGTGAAGGCATTAGCATTTTTAAGTGGATTGATCACATAAACCTTTTCTCTCCCAACCCCACCCTTGCCCTCATCCCTTCCCCCAAGCTCAAAAGAACTGGCTGTTAAGTCTGTGACCTTATTTTTCCTGATCTTTAACTTAACTGTTTTAGAGCATCTCTGGACGTCTGTATTTTTAATTTTTTTATTTTTATTTTTTTTATTTTTAATCTTTCATTTGTTAAATTTTTAAACTGTGCTGCAATAAAATGTGTGTGGTACTATTTAACACCTATGATGATGATGGCATTTTCCCAGAAAGCCATCTTCCTCCTGTTCCCCTTGAAATCCCATCCTGCTTTTCCTGTACACTACCCCTCACAAACCACAAGCTGCAGCAACATGGATGCCCAGCCTGGAGCAACGGCAGCCAGGATGACCTGGAGCCAGGGGGGCCTTCGGAACAGATGCACACCCTTCCTGGGTGATGGTAAGAGGTGTGAGGTCCACTGGTTTCATTGTGAAGACTAGGAAATACACCAGTCTAAGTTTAGTTGATGGAGGTGTAGGTGATAGCTTCTGGAAATGTTAGGGTTAATCTTTTTGTTTGTATCAAGAGATGTTTTCAAGGGAGGCCACTTAAATTTTTTGTAAACTAATGGAATTAGAAGTACCTAGTTAACTTAGGCTGACTGAAAATTTTTGATAATTGAAAAAAGCAGCTGAAGATTAAATATACTTTAGAATGAAGTGGCTTTTTAAAAAATAAATTTTTATTGGTTTCAGAGAGGAAGGGAGAAGGAAAGAGAGATAGAAACATCCGATGAGAGAGAATCATTGATCAGCTGCCTCCATGCCCCTTACCTGGGGACTGAGCCCGCATCCTGGGCGTGTGCCCTTGACCAGAATCGAACATGGCATCCTTCAGTCCACAGGCCAACCCTTTATCCACAGCCAAACCAGCTAGGGTGGCTTTTTTTATTAAACATTATTTTTTAGAGAGGTGAGAGAGAAATACCAATTTGATGGATTTGTTGTTCCACTTTTTATGCATTTATTGGTTGCTTCTTATATGTGCCTTGACTGGGGATGGAAGCTCCCATAACCTTGGTGGATTGGGCGATGCTCCAACCAACTGAGCTACCGGGCCAAGGCTAAAATGGCTTGTTTTAATGATTAGCAACAAAGCAGTTATTTTTCTTACTATTGCAAATTAGTGAAAATATTCTCTCATTTGGAGTAGTCTTCAGTTTGTGACAACAATTTTGTGTTGTATTCTATTGACTTTTTATTAAAATTTTTTTTTTTTAATATTTTATTGATTTTTTACAGAGAGGAAGGGAGAGGGATAGAGAGTTAGAAACATCGATCAGCTGCCTCCTGCACGCCCCCTACTGGGGATGTGCCCGCAACCAAGGTACATGCCCTGGCCTGGAATCGACCCTGGGACCTTTCAGTCCGCAGGCCGACGCTCTATCCACTGAGCCAAACCAGTCGGGGCTTTTTTTTTTTTTTAATATATTTTATTGATTTTTTACAGAGAGGAAGGGAGAGGGATAGAGAGTTAGAAACATCGATCAGCTGCCTCCTGCACGCCCCCTACTGGGGATGTGCCCGCAACCAAGGTACATGCCCTGGCCTGGAATCGACCCTGGGACCTTTCAGTCCGCAGGCCGACGCTCTATCCACTGAGCCAAACCGGTTTCGGCCTTTTTATTAAAATTTAACATGAATCAAACCATAAGCTTGCTGTAATATTAAAATGCTATCTCACTGGAAGGTTTTTTAAAAACAAAGGACTAGGAAGGCTTTTTAACCTTTAAAAGGGAAATAAATCTGTTTAATCTTTGTATCCAAATCAGAAAATCTAGGGACGACTTCTTTTTTCAATGATGACTTGTGGGCCAGTTAGATGTTAGTGTGTTCCCAAGGGTGATAGGAAGGAATGAATCTGCTCTATTCACAGGAATAATACGAGATTAATAAGGATATAAATAGCTAAAAAGTTAAAAAATTTGCAACCTGTAATATTTTACTGACAATAGTGCAATATTTTGATCACTAACTTTAATAGTTTTGAGCTGGGGCAAAAAGGATGATTTTTAAAGGCATGTTCCCTGCTGTGTTACTAGAATAAATCCCTTACTCGTACTGAAATGGTAAAATCTAGTTACAGTGAACACTGAAGGTAGCCTTAAAGGAAAGCAGAATGGAAAAAAGTTAATGTCCTAAGGATATCTGGAAAAGGAATGGAAGGCTTTTTTTCTCTAAGATCAAGTTTTATTAATGATCTCTATTCTATGAAATCTATTTCTACTGTGGTGTTCTGTATCATTGTCATTGTATGGCTGCTGTTCACTATAGGTTCAGTTAAATTTATTCCTTATTACTTTTACAAATCCATTATTTTATGGATCAAGTTCTGGTTTTGAGGAAAAAGGTATACTTCTTCAAGGACTCAGCCTAGGGAGGGAGACAGATGAATGAGAATATGTCATGTGATTAGAGGTAAGTACAGAACCTAAAGTAGCATGCAAAAATGGGTACCTACTAATTATTAAGTGGTCTGGAAATGCTTCTAAGAGAAAGGGAATTGAAATGAATTTTAGAGGAGGCCAGATTATAACATTTTAATGCTGTGCCAAGGAGTTTGTATTTTATCCAGAAACTAATGGTGAGCTATTGAAAGATTCTAAACTGAGGAATGACAGATATACCTTAGAAATGTCATTCTGACAGTGTGAATATGGCTTAGAGGATAAGGAAGATAGTAAACTATAAGGAATAAGAATGATCTGACCTGGTCTGGTCAAAAGCAATGTTATTAGAGAGGAGAGGTAAATTTAGGAGCATGTAGTGGTGGTTGTGATATGAAGAGAGGGATTTGGAGTGACCCCTAGGATTCTAGCTTCTGGGATGAGGATAGTTAGATAAACATTAAACAAAAGGATTAGGGGTTGAGAGTAGGAGAAAGCTATTTAAACATTGATCTTTGAGATGATTGTAGAACATTCAAGTAGAGATTTTATTAAACATTTGAGTGATTATTATGAAAATCCCCCTTAGGCATATAGATATTGGCAAAACATACTGTCTTGGGTATTGTAGACTACTAGAGGCCCGATGCACGAAATTTGAGCAAGAGTAGGCCTTCCTTCCCCTGGCTGCTGGCACCCGGGACCCGGGCTTCCCTCTGGCCCCAGCTTCGTCTGTTCTAATTAGCATATTATACTTCTATTATTATAGATTGAGAGAAATAAAGTGAACATACAGCAATTTCACAATCTAGATCCATGAAATGAAAAAACAGGGTGAGATAGTAGGGCAGTGGTTCTCAACCTTTTGGCCTGTTAAATACAGTTCCTCATGTTGTGACCCAACCAAAATTATTTTCGTTGCTACTTAATAGCTAATGTTGCTACTGTTATGAATCGTAATGTAAATATCTGATATGCAGGATGGTCTTAGGTGCCCCCTATAAAAGTGTCGTTTGACCACCAAGGGGGTCGCGACCCACAGGTTGAGAACCGCTGTAGTAGGGTAGCCAAACTTACAATGTGGAAGTATGAGCCTGATGCTAGTGAAATTGAGATCTGTACATGGATTATCGTATCTGAAAGAAGATAATTGGGAGTGGTTGGAAACTAGGCCTTAAAGCAGCGGTTTTCAACCTGTGGGTCGCGACTCCTTTTGCAGTCGAACAACCCTTTCACAGGGGTCGTCTAAGACCATCCTGCATATCAGATATTTACATTACGATTAATAACAGTAGCAACATTACAGTTATGAAGTAGCAATGAAAATAATTTTGTGGTTGGGTCACAACATGAGGAACTATTTAAAGGGCCAGAGGGTTGAGAACCACTACAAATACTACTGGAGAATAGTCACTAAGAATGCATAGAGTAAGCCCTAGCTGGTTTTGCTCAGTGGATAGAGCCTCAGCCTGCATACTGAAAGGTCTGGGTTCCATTCTGGTCAAGGGCACATGCCCGGGTTGTGGGCTCGATCCCCAGTAGGGGGCGTGCAGGAGGCAGCCGAACAAGGATTCTCTCATTGATGTTTCTATCTCCCTCTCCCTTCCTCTCTGAAATCAATAAAAATATATTACAAAAAAAAGAATGCAAAGGATAGATGAAATTTGGAAAGTAGACAAGTACTAACCATAGTATACAGGTCCTTTTTGGGTCATGTTTAAGATCTAGATTATCTGTTGAAATTCTAAAGAGAACAGAGAGATCTGATTTTTTTTTGAATTTCCTTCTGGCTCTTTTGTGGGGGAAGGTTAGTAATGGGGACTAAGTGCAAGTTAGAAGACTTATAGTTAGTTAATCTCTTGAAGAAAGTAGTGATCCTATGCCTGAGGCTACTTGCCCTGGTTTTTCAAATGAGTTTTCTTTGTGTATATTAATGAGCAAATGTACTTAGTTTGAAGAAAATAGGTTAGGCAGGCTGAAAGATGTCACTGGTTATTTCTCTAACAACCCTTGTTGAGACATAATTGGTTTGTTATTTGAAAGGAAAAATGCAGTAGAACCTGAATTCCTTTATTTTGAATGCAATAATCTGGACATTTTACCATGTATTCACCACTGTTAACTTTCTTGTGTTATTTACTCTTCATCATAACCTTATGTAAATATTACAATATTCATATTTTTATTTTTTAAATATATTTTTATTGATTTCAGAGAGGAAAGGAGAGGGAGAGAGAGCTAGAAACATCAATGATGAGAGAGAATCATTGATTGGCTGCCTCCTGCACATTCCCTACTGGGGATCGAACCCGCAACCTGGGCATGTGCCCTTGGCCAGAATCGAACTTGGGACCCTTCAATCCTCATATTGACACTCTATCCACTGAGCCAAACCGGCTAGGGCACAATATTCATATTTTAGAGATGTGAATATTGAAGCACATAATTTAAATAATTGCCTAATAGTGAAGCATGGATTCAACCTAGGCAGTTAACCATGCAGATTTCTATTTTTAAAAAAATAATATATGTATATGTATGTATTTGATTTTAGAGAGAGGAACGAAGGGAGAGAAAAAAACATCGATCAATGTGAGAGATAAACATTGATGGGTTGCCTCCCACATGTGCCCTGACCAGGATGGAACCCGAAGCCTGGGTAGTTGCCCTGACTGGGAACCAAACCCACCACATTCTGTGTAGGAGAAGATGCTTCAACCAATTGAGCCACACCGTCCAGGGTAGTTTCAACTCTTTTTTTTTTTTTTTAAATATATTTTATTGATTTTTCACAGAGAAGAAGGGAGAGGGACAGAGAGCCAGAAACATCGATGAGAGAGAAACATGGATCAGCTGCCTCCTGCACACTCCCCACTGGGGATGTGCCCGCAACCCAGGTACATGCCCTTGACCGGAATCGAACCTGGGACCCTTGAGTCCGCAGGCCGACGCTCTATCCACTGAGCCAAACTGGTTAGGGCCAGTTTCAACTCTTAATCATACTAGACTACTT